TCTCTCGTACAGTGCAAACTTCACACTTGGAGGGAAACAGAATGAGGATGCTCATCTCTAACCTTCACCACAATGCCAGTCGATGAGCTACTGACAACTGGCACTGCTTACTAGCTTCTGCTGGCTTCCCGCTACACAGCAACGAGACCAACTTCCCCTGGGAAAATTCCCCATGAGAGCTACATATCTTGTATCTTTATTTTCCAGATATATCTCGTACAGTGCAAACTTCGCACTTGGAGGGATACGGAATGTGGACACTAATCTCTAACCTTTACCACAACGCCAGTTGATGAGGTACTGACGACTGGCACTGCTCGTTCGCTTCTGTTGGTTTTCTGCAACACGGAGACCAACTTCCCCCGAGAAAATTCCCCGTGAGTGCTATGTGCTTTGTATCCTTACTTTCCAGGAAACCCTCGTAGATTTAATGGCACACACACACACAAACATTTGAGCCATCTCACCATACTTGACCTTTATTGGAGACGTATTTATTACACAGAAGTTAACACCATATACCACTCACTTCCCATGTATTCCCTTATAAATCTGTAGCAAAAGTGCACTTTTAATCTATAGCATATATCTTCCAATATTCTATTTCTTCTTCTTCTCTCTCTTAAGTCAGGCCTTTTATTTGTAAAAACATTATCACCAAATATACAAAATACGAGCTTAGTGTTCTCCTAAGTTACTTTCCTGTGTTTCCAGCCTGAAACGAATACTGGTTAAAAGAGGTTTTCTACGAAAGAGAAAACACAGCATCGCCGCCCATCCATTTTCGTCAGTTATCCTATTAAGTGTGACGAACTCCGAAGACGCAATTAATCACCTTTGCATATTAGACATTGTTGTTTGACTAGTGAAGAAAGGCATTTTCGTTTTGGTTTGTTCTGGTGTTGGTGAGAAATGAGGAAATTGCAACCCAGGACAACTTACGGAATTGCATTTGACACAACACCTTTGTGGCAGACGCCAATCTGGATGTAATAGTGAACCGAAACAAGTCTTTTCATCCCTTGGAAAACCAGGTCTCCATTTCCATCCCTGTTTTGATACCTCAAAGCTGTCTCAAGGGGGGGAAAGCCAATACGAAAACATCTCCCTCTGTTTACATGAACTGGGAAGCCATTCCAGACGCAGGGAAACCAAAAATTGCCCAACGGGCAACTAGGACCAGTGATATTTGAGAAAGTGCAGACCCTTCCCTCTTGCATTGTAGTTTTCCTATTCATCCTTGTTACAGTAGAGTCTCAATTATCCAACATAAACGGGCCAGCACAATGTCAGATAAACAAAACTGTCGGATAAATGAAAATGTTGGATAACACAGATATTGCTACCTGTCTGACGTGGTGCCAGACACCTAGAATACTAAAAACAGGGGCTCAAAGGGTTAAGGCAAGGCAACAGCTCGGGGCTTGAGTAGCTATAACGAATTTGGCTTGTTGTTTGACCTACCTTAAAGGGCTGGCGTGTGAGCAGCCATTTTGTGGTGCCCAGAGAACAATAGCACCAGTGAGGAGGCTATTTGATTGGTCGAATGCAAATGAGCGGGTGCTAAGATTTGAAAGGGGGGCAGAGGCAAGGATTAAAAGAGCGCCCCCCAACTCTCTCTCCATTCCCAATGTGTGTTATTGCTTATTGTTTATATGTGATTTATATTAATTGTATTGTATTGTATTCTATTTTTTGTTTATTGCTTTCTTGTTTTATTGATGTGTTGGGCGAGTCCCTTGGGGAGATGTGGCGGGGTATAAATAAAGTTTTATTATTATTATTATTAAGACAAGGAGGGGAGAGAAAAGATGGAAGAGGAAGGAGCAGAAGCAGAAATATCCTCCCCTCTTTGCTCTGGGATTTCCATGCTCTTCTTCCGCATCCGGGCACTTCCTGCTGGGCCACTCTAACCCCGAGGAGCTGCCTTGCCTTAACTCCTTGAGACCCTGTTGTTAGTATTATCGTTATCTAGTGCTGGTGTCGGACAGGTAACAGTAGGAGATTCCGTATTATCCGACATTTTTGTTTATCCGACGTTCTGACGGCCGATTTATGTCACCAGATAAGCGAGACTACTAAAATGCCACCTGCAGTGTTAGATGGTCGCTAGCATAATGTGCCATGGGAAAACAGACTATGTACGAGGGGTCCGTTTTGTTGTAGTGTCCGTTTTGTTGTAGACACTAGTAGTTTGCGCGCATACCGCAACGAGCGTGTGCGTCGTGTACCAAAATGCCTCGGGAACAACTGTACTCAGTTTCCGCTCTGTAGCTCACCTGTACGGTTCTATTCTGTGCTTTAAAAATGTTTAAGACTATCAACTCACCCTCCGCATGTGAGGTTCGCTCAGCGATACGGTTTTTGTCAGCAAGGAACCTGCCTGCTGCAGAAATTCATCGACAGATTTGTGAAGTGTATGGTGAGACTGTTATGAGTGAAAGCAAAGTGCGTAAGTGGGTACGACAATTCAAAGATGGCCGTGACAACGTCCATGATGAGGACCGCTCCGGTCGCCCTTCTTTGATTACAGACGATTTGATTTGATCGCACACTCAAATCTTTGGTTTTTGTGGTCCTCTGTTAGGAGTTTCGGGACCCAACGGGAGCACAGTTTCCTAAACTTTAGGTGTTCAGAAACAATGTTGTAAAGCACTGATCTCGACACGTCAGGAAATTCGTTTGAGAGACCTGTTATTGTGAAGCGCCTGTTCTCACGAATCCTGCTTCAACTGAAGCCACCAAATCGTCTGTAATCAAAGAAGGGCGACGGGAGCGGTCCTCATCATGGACGTTGTCACGGCCATCTTTGAATTGTCGTACCCACTTACGCACTTTGCTTTCACTCATAACAATATCACTGTACACTTCACAAATCTGTCGGTGAATTTCTGCAGCAGGCAGACAAAAACCGTATCACTGAGCGAACCTCACATGCGGAGGGTGAGTGGATAGTCTTAAACATGTTTAAAGCACAGAACAGAACCGTACAGGTGAGCTACAGAGCGGAAACTGAGCACAGTTGTTCCCGAGGCATGCACGCGCTCGTTGTGGTATGCGCGCAAACTACTAGTGTCTACAACAAAACGGACCTGACTTAAAAAATACCCCTCATATCTGTAGTCGGTGTCAGGTAGAGGACATTGTGCATGATTGGTTAGTCCTCCCCTTGTATAGCGATCCACGAGAAAGACACCGGAAACCCTTGCTGACACAAGGTAAAGGGAACTCTAGTGCAAAAACTGTGAGCAACACAAATGACTATGCAACTTACTTTTTTCCCTTTCTGCAAAAAGGTACAGAAAAATAGAATTAGATAAAAACTCCCATCAACTGCTGAAGAGACTTTAAAGATTAACTGGACCCTCTGCCAAAATGTATTTTAATTATTGTCAGCTTGCATTGTTAGTTATTTGTTATTGTTGCATTGTTTGTTATTGTTTGCATTGTTTGTTCTTTGTGGGAGCATGATGATGGTTTCTATTCGGTATTTTTGGTGCCTGTTGCTCCAAAGGTACTACTGTGTGCATGTGATGCTTTTTTGCTATGGCCTTGGGACCGTATAATAAACTATTTTGATGATGATGACTTAATATGCTTTGTGTGTGAATGTATGCGCGTCCGAGATGTTAACATGCAGCGAAATTAATGCTCAAGCCCTGTCTACTTGATTGTTGCACTTTTCTTGCACTCACTTCAGGATGTATTGCACTCATTGAGCCTGAACCTCAGCTATGTTCTTTTTCTCATCCATATTGTTTTGATGTTGTTTACGATTGTGATTGTTTATATATTTTATCCAATGTTTTTAATTTCTTGTGTTTTTATCTGTAATTTTTTGGGCTTGTCCCTTGTAAGTCACCCCGAGTCGCCTAGGGGAGGTGGTTGGCGGGTTATAATAATAATAATAATAATAATTATTATTATTATTATTTATTATTATTATTATTATTATAAAGAGATCACACATGGGACACTTTTGGCTCATAGAAAATACAATGCAAAAGGGAAGGGTCTGCACTGTCTCCAAGACTTTCCAAGCAATATGGCGAACTCAGCTTTGAGCCTCATGCCCCATCTACATTGGCATATTATGCAGTATCAAACCGCATGATATAGCAGTGTACACTTATACAATTAAGTTAACCTGGTCAATCCGTAGTTCTAAATGGTTCTAAAGTACTTCCAAAACTAAAATTCTGGTGGTGAAAATTTCAGAACTCTAACAAAACTCTCAAAATTTCATTATAAATGGCAGTTCCTAATTGGTTCTGTCATAAAAAATGCCAATAATGAAATAATAATTAAATTTTGAAAGTTTAGTTAGAGTTCTGAAATTTTCACCACCAGAACTTTAGTTTTGTAAGTACTTTAGTTTTGAAAGTTTTGTTAGAGTTCTGAAATTTTCACCACCAGAACTTTAGTTTTGTAAGTACTTTAGTTTTGAAAGTTTTGTTAGAGTTCTGAAATTTTCACCACCAGAACTTTAGTTTTGTAAGTTCTGGTGGTGAAAATTTCAGAACTCTAACAAAACTTTCAAAATATAATAATTATTTCATTATTGTGATTTTTATGATAGAACCAATTAGGAAATGCCATTGATAATGAAATTTTGAAAGTTTTGTTAGAGTTCTGAAATTTCCACAACCAGAACTTACAAACCTAAAGTACTTACAAAACTAAAGTTCTGGCGGCGAAAATTACAGAATTCTAACTAAACTTTCAAAATTTAATTATTATTTCATTATTGGTGATTTTTATGATAGAACCAACGGGGAACTGCCATTGATAATGAAATTTTGAGAGTTTTGTTACAGTTCTGAAATTTTCACCACCAGAATTTTAGTTTTGGAAGTACTTTAGAACCATTTAGAACTACGGATTGACCAGGCCTACTGCATTACATGGCAGGGTAGATGGACCTTCTATAAGATTCATCCTTTGTTGACGCTTTCGAGGAAATCCAGAATGCTTGGGGGGGGGGGGGGGGGGAGAGACTAATGGGATGAAATTATCACACATGATTCATCTTTATGATCTCTACACAACCATGTTCACGGTATTGCTCATCACTGTGCCCAAAAACCCATACTTGAAAAGGCATCAGATGCACCAAAAAGGACAAACTCTGTATTCCGCCGATCCTTTTGCTCTTCCCCTATAGACACAGTGAAAAGTGGGCTGCTTCCTAAACAACTTCGTAAACAACTCCGACTAAGCCAAATGGGCAATTTTCTTATTCGCCTCCAAAGAAGATGTGTCATGAACCAACCATGGAGATTTGAAATCTCTTTGCGAGAAAGCAGTAAATCAACCAGAACCAGAAACCAAAGGTAAGCCTTTGGGTCACCTCTGAAGTCCGACAATGCGACCTTCCTTGGATCCTGAGCCCAGTTTCAAGTAAAGACAACGGGAGTGTGTATAAAACAGCGCTGGAAGAAATCCAGAGCGAACAGAATCCGTGTTCATGGCGGCCGCTGCGAGGAGAGCGTCCCGCTAGTTTCCTGGTGATCTCCCCTGGCCCTACGATGCGGACAAAGTGGTTTCACGAGCACCAGGACGTCCTGTACGGACCCAGTCGCGATCCCTTCTTTTGTTTGGAAAGCGCGTCGCCTTAGTCTCTCGACTGGTAAAAGAGGATATACCCAGATTCCGAGTTTTTGGAAATGTCCGACGTCAAGCCATAGAATTCTTCAATCGCTTGAGCATCGATTTTCTGCCAGAGACAAAATTAGGAGGGGGAAACAGCATGGTGGCTTATTTCCTGGCTGCTAAAAAGGATTGGAAGTATTATTATTATTATTACTATTATTATTATTATTATTATTATTATTATTATTTACAGCTTTTATATTCCGCCCTTCTCACCCCGCAGGGGACTCAGGGCGGATTACACATCTCACCACACTAAAACAGTGGATGTGGCTCTTAATGAGACATGCCGCATTATCACGGGGTGTCTGCGCCCTACACCACTGGAGAAATTACACTGCTTAGCCGGTATTGCACCACCTGACATCCGCCGGGAAGTAGCAGCCAATAGTGAAAGGACCAAGGCAGAGACATCTCCAGTTCATCCCCTGTTTGGGTATCAGCCAGCACGTCAACGACTTAAATCAAGAAATAGTTTTCTAAGATCTACAGAGACACTCGCTGGAACACCCCAGCAAGCGAGAGTCCAAAAGTGGCAGGCTCAAACCCAGAACCTCAATCAATGGCTGATACCAAATGAGAGACTCCCCCCTGGGCACACAGAAGACTGGGCGACTTGGAATGTGCTGAACAGAGGCTGGATGGCCATTTGTCAGGGGATTTGAATGCAATATTCCTGCTTCTTGGCAGGGGGTTGGACTGGATGGCCCATGAGGTCTCTTCCAACTCTTTGATTCTATGATTCTATGAACAGACTGCGCTCTGGCACCACAAGATGCAGAGCCAACCTTCAGAAATGGGGCCACAAAGTGGAGTCCACGACATGAGAGTGTGGAGAAGAGCAAACCACTGACCACCTGCTGCATTGCAACCTGAGCCCTGCCACATGCACAATGGAGGACCTTCTTGCAGCAACACCAGAAGCACTCCAAGGGGCCAGAGACTGGTCAAAGGACATTTAATCAACTACGAAACGCACAAATTTTGTATTTTGTCTGTTTGTTTGCTTTGTTCTGTTAGAAATGTAATATAATGGACTGGTTGCCCTGACACGACAAATAAAATAAATAACCCACATCTATGGCAAGCATCGTCAGAGGTTGTGAGGTCTGTTGGAAACCAGGAAAATGTAGTTTATATATCTATGGAATGATGTCCAGGGTGGGAGAAAGAACTCCTGTCTGTTTGAGGCAAATGTGAATGTTGAAAATGGCTACTTTGATTAGCATTTAATGGCCTTTCAGTTTCAAAGACTGGCTGGTTGCTGCCTGGGGGAATCCTTTGTTGGAAGGTGTTAGCTGACTTTATTTATTTATTTATTTATTTGGCTTGTATACCGCTACTCCCAATTTGGCTCGGAGCGGTTTACAGCAAAACAACCAACTTTAAAATACAATAAAAATGAGAACAGACATAGTACTGAGTTATTCACCAATCGAAAGCTTGCCGGAAAAGAAAGGTTTTACAGGCTTTCCGAAAAGCAAGTAGCTCTCGGATGGTTCGGGTTTCAACTGGTAAGGCATTCCATAAATAAGGGGCCACAATCGAGAAGGCTCTCTGCCTAGTAGAGGACAAATGATAAGTCCGGATGTTGGGGACTTCAAGCAAATTTTGGTCTTCGGACCGAAGTAATCTCTGGGGTTGGTAGGGGGATAAGCGGGCCCTCAGGTACGCCGGCCCCAGACCATATAAGGCCTTAAAGGTTAGTACCAGCACCTTGAAAGTGATCCGGTACTCAATCGGAAGCCAGTGCAGCTGTTGGAGGATTGGGGTGATATGACACTTCGCTGCCACCCCGGCGAGAAGATGAGCCGCCGCATTTTGCACCAGCTCTAGTTTCCGGGTCACTGACAAAGGAAGGCCAATGTAAAGGGCGTTACAGTAGTCAAGCCTCGAGATGACCGTTGCCTGGATCACTGCAGCCAGGTCGTTCCTAGATAGGAAGGGAGCCAGTCACCTAGCCTGACGTAGGTGGGAAAACGCAGATCTGCTCACAGCAGAGACCTGGGCCTCCATTGTGAGCAGAGGGTCCCATAAGACACCAAGGCTTTTGACAGAAGGTGATGGACGTAGTGTCTCGCCATCCAGGGTAGGCAGCTGGATCTCCATCCCACCTGGACGGCCCAGCAATTAGCATTTAAAGGCCTTGCAACTTCAAAGACTGGCTGGTTGCTGCCCTGGGGAATCCTTTGTTGGAAGGTGTTAGCTGGCCTTGATTGATTCTTGTCTGGAATTCCACAGACAAGAACAAGGCATTGAAACTGCAAGGTAATTAAATGCATCAATAGGAGCCTAGTGTCTAGATCCAGGGAAGTCATGCTCCCCATGCTCTATTCCGCTTTGGTTAGACCACACCGGGAATATTGTGTCCAATTCTGGGCACCACAATTCAAGAGAGATATTGACAAGCTGGAATGTGTCCAGAGGAGGGCGACTCAAAGGATCAAGGGTCTGGAGAACAAGCCCTATGAGGAGCGGCTTAAAGAGCTGGGCATGTTTAGCCTGAAGAAGAGAAGGCTGAGAGGAGACATGATAGCCATGTAGAAATACGTGAGAGGAAGTCATAGGGAGGAGGGAGCAAGCTTGTTTTCTGCTGCCCTGGAGATTAGGACGCAATGGAACAAGGGATACAAGAAAGGAGATTCCATCTGAACATGAGGAAGAACTTCCTGATTGTGAGAGCCGTTCAGCAGTGGAACTCTCTGCCCTGGGGTATGGTGGAGGTTCCTTCTTTGGAGGCTTTTAAACAGAGGCTGGATGGCCATCTGTCGGGAGTGCTCTGAATGCAATTTTCCTGCTTCTTGGCAGAATTGGGTTGGACTGGATGGCCCATGAGGTCTCTTCCAACTCTAGGATTCTATAAAATGGCCATTTGCAACAATCACACTTGCCCCAAGCAGACAAGAGTTCTTTCTCTCACCTTGGACAGTGATAAAAACCACACTTGCCTAGTTTCCAACAGAACTCACAACCTCTGAGGATGCCTGCCATAGATGTGGGCAAAACGTCAGGAGAGAATGCTTCTGGAACATGGCCACACAGCCACATGGAAAAATCACAGCAACCCAGTCATTTGGGCCCTGAAAGCCTTTGACAACATACCAAAGGACCATTTCTGGTTAGCAGGCTCATTGGTCCATCATAGATGGATATCCATTGGTTTGGTTGGGACTCGGGGGGGGGGGGGGGGGAGAGAGAGAGAGAGAGAGAGAGAGAGAGAGAGAGAGACCTACCTCTACAATGTCGTCGTCAAACAGCAACCAAAACCCATGGCTCTTCACAATGGTGATATAATGCCCACGGTTCGGACCACTGGAGACAAAGGAGAGGTGTAAGATACAAGCACTGAAATTCTATCTCTGGCAGGGGCTCCTTATTATAACGGATGCCCCTTATTTTACAAAGGGAAAGTGTGTTCCTTATAAGACACGCAGCTATCCATGCAAGAGACATCACTCAAAAAATTGATTTTGTCACTTGGGAGTTGTAGTTGCTGGGATTTATAGTTCACCTGCAATCAAAGAGCATTCTGAACTCCAACAACAATGGGATTGAACCAAACTTGGTACACAGGACTCCCATGACCAACAGAAAATTCTGGAAGGATTTGGTGGGCATTGATCTTGAGTTTGGGAGTTGTAGTTTACCTACATCCAGAGAGCACTGTAGATCCAAACAATCATGGATCTGGACCAAACTTCACACGGATACTCAATATACCCAAATGTGAACACTGGTGGAGTTTGGGGGAAATAGACCTTGACATTTGGGAATTGTAGTTGCTGGGATTTATAGTTCACCTACAACCAAAGAGCATTCTGAACCCTACCAATTATAGAATTGGGCCAAACTTCCCACACAGAACCCCCATTACCAACAGAAAATATTGTATTTTCTGATGGCTTTCACGACCCCTCTGACATCCCTTCGCGACCCCCCCCCCAGGGGTCCCGACCTCCAGGTTGAGAGCTTTATATGGTCTAGGGCTTTATAGGTTAAAGCCAGCACTTTGAATTGTGCTCGGTAGGAAATTGGCAGCCAATGGAGCTGGCGCAACAGAGGAGTTGTATGCTCCCTGGGCGCCGCTCCTGTTAGCAACCTAGCTGCTGCCCGTTGGACCATTTGGAGCTTCCAAACAGTCTTCAAAGGCAACCCCACGTAGAGAGCGTTGCAGTAGTCTATACGGGATGTAACCAGTGCGTGGACCACTGTGGAGCAAAGTTACTGCTATGAAGTAGCAACGGAAATAATGTTATGTTTGGGGGTCAGCACAACATAAGGAACTGCATTAGGAAGGTTGAGAAACACTGTGGTTGAATTAATACACATTGGCACCATTTGAACTGCCAAGGCTCAATGCTATGGGGTCCTAGTAGATGTAGTTTGGGGAAGCACCGGTACTCTTGCAGAGAAGGCTAGAAACCTTGGTAAAAATACAACTCCCAGGAACCCATATTATTGAGAAGCAGTGTCAAACTTTGCTAATTCTGCAGTGCGGCTGCACCATAGCACTCTTATCCAGAGGAGGAGCAGAAACGAGGACCGGAGGCTCACCTGCCACAATGCACCACCACAGCCACGAGGTCGTACATCCGGTCCGGGTTCGTGGCGTCGCACGACGTGTTGAAGAGCCGGAGCTCCAAGGGGAAGACGACCCGGTAGGAGAGCTTGGTGTACCGGTGCAGCTGGTCCATGTACTTGAACCGCTTCAAGTGCAGGGCGAGGATCATGGGCAGCTTCTTCACCCGCATCCTGGCTCAAAAACACACACACACCCAAATTGCATGAAAAATCGTGTGGTGAGGACAGAACAAATACAGGGCCCACACGACAAAGGGACTCTTTGCCTGGAGTGCTTTAAACACACTGAGCAAGCAAACCCACACTGTAGGTTCCTGCAAACAAACAAATGATCTTTTGCTATCAACAAGGATATATGTCTGCTTTCTCCCTTCTCCAGCTCTGAGGAGGCCGACCTCACTATGTCTCCACAGCAACACTATGGCCAGGGTCTCTTTGTGGCTTTCTCTCTCTCTCTCTTTTTTTTTTTCTCTCTCTCTCTTCTTTTTCTTTCTCTCTCTTTCTTTCTCTTTCTCTCTCTTCTCTTTTTCTTTCTCTCTCTTTCTCTCTCTCTTTTTCTTTCTCTTTCTCTAGCTCTTATTCTTTCTCTCTTTTTCTTTCTCTCTTTTCCTTTCTCTCTCATACCATCTCTTTCTCTTTTCTGCCTATTTCTCTTCTATATCTTTTTGTCATTCTCTATTTTCATTCTCTCTTCTCTTTCTCTCTGTCTTCAACTTTTTCTTTCTCTCTCTTTTTCTTTCTCTTTCTTTCTTTCTCTCTCTCTCTTTTTTCTCTCTTTCTCTCTTTCTTTCTCTTTCTCTCTCTCTTTTTCTTTCTCTCTCTCTCTCTCTCTTTTTTCTTTTCTTTCCCTTTCTCTTTCTTTCTTTCTCTTTTCTTTTCTTTTCTTTCTCTTTCTTTTTTTCTCTTTCTTTCTTTCTTTCTCTATCTTTTCTTCTCTTCCTCTCTTTCTCTTCTTTTCCTTTCCTTCCTTCCTTCCTTCTTTTCTTCTTTTCTCCTTTGCTTTTCTTCCTTTGCTTTCCCTGATACACCTTTCCTCCCCCTTCTTTCCTTCCTCTTCCTTTCTTTTCCTCTCTTCCCTCCCATCGTCCCTATTTATATTATAATGCAATGCAAAATATAATACGAATACTAATAATTGATATTATAATTATATATTTATATTACATGTAATATTACCAATAATATTACAATATAATGGTATAGTACACTGATAATTTAATATATTGGATGTATATATATATAGAATCATAGAATCCAAGAGTTGGAAGAGACCTCATGGGCCATCCAGTCCAACCCCATTCTGCCAAGAAGCAGGAATATTGCATTCAAATCACCCCCGACAGATGGCCATCCAGCCTGTTTAAAAGCTTCCAAAGAAGGAGCCTCCACCACACTCCAGGGCAGAGAGTTCCACTGCTGAACGGCTCTCACAGTCAGCCGCTCTGAGTCCCCTTCGGGGTGAGAAGGGCGGTATATAAATGTCATAAACAAACAAACAAACAAATAATACTCAATATATTGTCAAAGGCTTTCATGGCCGGAATCACTGGGTTGTTGTAGGTTTTTTCAGGCTATATGGCTATGGTCTAGAGGCATTCTCTCCTGACGTTTCGCCTGCATCTATGGCAAACGTCAGGAGAGAATGCCTCTAGACCATGGCCATATAGCCCGAAAAAACCTAAAACAACTAAATAATAGTCGTCAAAGTGCATTTACTTGTGGAAAACAACAACCCTTCGCCTCACCTCTTTTGTGCTTCCTGCTTACTGCGGCATTGCTCACAGTAGTATTTGTATTCACTGCACAGAGTCTCAGTATTGCTGAACCCCCTGGAAAATAGGATAAAGTAACAAGAATTGGGATCATCAGGGTTTTCAAGCCCCAAAATGTCTCATATTCTTCCCCAGGCATCTTTCTCTTATACTCCTTCTCCTCCAAACTTCCTGTTCCATCCCCATCATAATTTCATGTAAACACCCTGAATTGAAAAGGAAGCTGAAGAATCACCACAAGTTACTTCCAATGGGACAATGAATTCTATGAGCAGAAAGATGGAGTAGCCATGGGGAGCCCTCTCAGCCCGGTCATAGCTAATTTCTACATGGAACACTTTGAAACACAACCTCTGGAAGCAGCACCAAAAAGGACTCTTGTCCGTTGGAGCTAGGTGTGAATGTTTCAACTGACCACCTTGATTAGCTCCAGGCACAGTCAGCCCATTGTATGCTAATCAAGGTGGTCAGTTGAAACATACACACCTAGCTCCAGACAAGAGTCCTTTGTCTCACCCTGGTCATTCCACAGATACATAAACCCAAATTTCCTAGTTCCAACAGACCTCACTACCTCTGAGGATGCTTGCCATATGATGCAGGCAAACGCCATACAGCCCGAAAAAAACCTACAACAACCCAATAATAACAACAACAACAACAACAAACTTGGGAAGTGTCTGACGTGTGATCCAATACAACAGCTAGCAGAGTGTCTGCTGTGGACTCATCTTGTTGTGTTTCAAATAATAATAATAATAATAATAATAATAATAATAATAATAATTTCTATGATTTATTATTATTAAATATGTATTTATTCATTCATTTATTATTAATGAACAAGTTCCTGGATCACCTAAACAGAATCCAATAATAATAATAATAATAATAATAATAATAATAATAATGAAAAGTCGACGACAGATCCCAAGTGTAGACTCTGCAAGGAAGCAGATGGAACAATAGATCACAGAAAAAATTGGGGATACTTCCAAGATGCTCAGATGAGGATGATTTACTAGTCAAAGCAACTTCAACATGTTTTGACTTCTCTCCAGTTTCTTCTGTGAGAAAGGCGACACTTAACAGCTGGAATCCCAGCAACATCTGGAGCTCCGCAAGTTGTCCGACCCTGATTTCAAAGGTCCGTGTCAATCATTCTTATTTTATTTTAATCACCTCAAACAGTGCGTTATCGACGTATTTTGTTCCACGTCAACCGACAGGTCCAGAAAGTCCTCATCTTTGCTGCTAACCTGAAGAAAGAGACAGGGTTGATTTCAAAAAACCAAATCAACTGCATTTGGAAGAATGCAGGGAGAAATATAATAATAATAGTAATAATAATAACAACAGTAATCCGACGTGTGATCCAATTCAACAGCCAGCAGAGTGTCTGCTATGGACTCATCTTGTTGTGTTTCAAATAATAAATAATAATAATAATAATAATAATAATAATAATAATAATAATAATAATAATAATCTTTATTTATACCCCACCACCATCTCCCCAAAAGGGACTCGGGGCAGCGAACACGAGGCCAAGCCCAAAAATAATATAGCAAAGTTAGACATAAAGCAACAGAAAAATTGCATCACAACAAAAGACTTTTGTTACTTTATTTTGTTACAAAATAAAAAAATAAAGTAAAGTAACAAAATAAAATAAAATGAAATAAACAGTGCAAAATAACGTAATGCTCCTCAATCAACAAAACTGAAAGTCTAAAATGCACACTGGTGATACGTTAGGTCAAGCACTTTTGGCTTTTCTTTTCTAGGTTTAAAAAAAAACCAGCCTGTTGTTCTGCTCCAGTTTAGGGTTTTCCTTTCCCTCACTGGATGTTGGAAATAGCAACCTTCCAAGCCTTCACTATTTGTTTGTTAATGTATATATTTGCTAACCTGTATTGTATGTATCACCCTCTCATTGAACATCGAGAGAATCAAAGTCCTATGTATTGCCAAAAGCTTTCATGGCCGGAATCACTGGGTTGTTGTACATTTTTTTGGGGTATATGGCCATGTTCTAGAGGCATTCTCTCCTGACATTTCACCTGCATCTATGGCAAGCATCCTCAGAGGTAGTAAGGTCTGTTGGAACTAGGGAAAAGGGTTTATATATCTGTGGAATGACCAGGGTTGGACAAAGGACTCTTGTCTGCTGGAGCTAGGTGTGAATGTTTCAACTGACCACCTTGATTAGCATTTGATGACCTGGCAGTGCCTGGGGCAATCTTTTGTTGAGAGGTGTTAAGATGTGCCTGATTGTTTCCTCTCTGCTGTTCTGCTGTTGTAATTTTAGAGTTTTTCAATACTGGTAGCCAGATTTTGTTCATTTTCATGGTCTCCTCCTTTCTGTTGAAATTGTCCACCTGCTTGTGGATTTCAATGGTTCTCTGTGTAGTCTGACATGGTGGTTGTTGTTGTGGTCCAGCATTTCTGTGTTCTCAAATAATATGCTGTGTCCAGGCTGGTTCATCAGGTGCTCTGCTATGGCTGACTTCTCTGGTTGAAGTAGTCTGCAGTGCCTTTCATGTTCCTTGATGCGTGTCTGGGCGTGCGTTTGGTGGTCCCTATGTAGACTTGTCCACAGCTGCATGGTACACGGTAGACTCCTGCAGAGGTGAGAAGGATCCCTCTTGTCCTTTGCTGAACGTAGCATTTGTTGGATTTTCTTGGTGGGTCTGTAGATAGTTGTATGTTGTGTTTCCTCATTAGCTTCCCTATGCGGTCAGTGGTTCCCTTGATGTATGGCAAGAACACTTTTCCTCTGGGTGGGTCTCTACAAACAAGGACATCTAATCACCTCTCAACAAAAGATTGCCCCAGGCACTGCCAGGTCATCAAATGCTAATCAAGGTGGTCAGTTGAAACATTCACACCTAGCTCCTACAGACAAGAGTTCTTTGCCCCACCCTGGTCATTCCACAGACATATAAACCCATTTTCCTAGTTCCAACAGACCTCACTACCTCTGAGGATGCTTGCCATAGATGCAGGCGAAACATCAGGAGAGAATGCCTCTAGAACATGGCCATATAGCCCGAAAAAACCTACAAAAACCCAGAAAACCAAAGTCCTCTTCCAGCAGTCACTGGCCAATCCCTCTCCAATGCCAGAAATACAGCTTAATGGTGTAACATTAGAAAATGTTGACCATATCTGCTACCTTGGCAGCCACCTCTCCACAAAAGTCAACATTGACACTGAAATTCAACACCGCCTGAGCTCTGCGAGTGCAGCATTTTTCCGAATGAAGCAGAGAGTGTTTGAGGACCGGGACATCTGCAGGGATACCAAGGTGCTTGTCTATAAAGCTATTGTCATGTGACTATTTCCTGTGCTGGTCAATGACCGAAATAAATGATTTGATTTGATTTGAAAGCTATTGTCCTCCCAACCCTGCTCTATGCCTGCGAGACATGGACTGTCTACAGACGTCACATGCAACTCCTGGAACGATTCCATCAGTGCTGCCTCTGGAAAATCCTGCAAATCTCTTGGGAAGACAAGCGGACAAACGTCAGCGTGCTGGAAGAAGCAAAGACCACCAGCATTGAAGCGATGGTCCTCCGCCATCAACTCCACTGGACCGGCCACGTTGTCCGGATGCCCGACCACCGTCTCCCAAAGCAGTTGCTCTACTCCGAACTCAAGAACAGTTCGGAGTAGAGCAACAGCTTTGGGAGATGGTGGTCAAACAACGTGGCCGGTCCAGTGGAGTTGATGGCGGAGGACCATCACTTCAATGCTGGTGGTCTTTGCTTCTTGTTGGAGGACAGGAAAAGAGATTGAAAGATGGGCTCAAAGCCAACTTAAAAACTCTGGCATAGACACTGAGAACTGGGAAGCCCTGGCCCTTGAGCGCTCCAGCTGGCGGTCAGCTGTGACCAGCAGTGCTGCAGAATTTGAAGAGGCACAAATGGAGGGCGAAAGAGAGAAACGTGCCAAGAGGAAGGCGCGTCAAGCCAACCTCGACCGGGACCGCCTTCCACCTGGAAACCAATGCCCTCACGGTGGGAGAACACGCAGGTCAAGAATAGGTCTCCATAGTCACCTACGGACCCACCCTGGAGGATTATCCTACTCGGACAACAAGGGATCGCCTAAAGGTTGACCCTGAGTAAGGGCCAGGTAAATGACCTTGGAGGGCCGTATTCGGCCCCCAGGCCTTAGTTTGAGGACCCCTGGAGTAGAGGAACATAAAGAGCAATTGGTAAACAAGGGAACGTACAGCTTCGCAGTTGAGGCATCTGGTTTCGTTGGTGAGGGTCCCCTGGAAGATTTCGTGGACCCAGGTGAGGTCGCCCTTCTCGGCCTCGTCGCCACCGCCGCTGCTCTCGAGGGTCCCGTTCTGGAGCTTCCCGTTCTGCTTCTCCTGCTTCTTCTCTTCTTGCAGTAAGTCGGCAATGGTGTTCAGCAAGTAGTTGAGGAACTCGTGGGCGTCCTGCTGCATGTAATTGTCAAAGAGTTCTGGCAACGAAAAAGAGAAAGGTAAGGAGGTTGAGACTTCAGCAAGGCCTAGGATATAATAATAATAATAATAATAATAATAATAATAATAATAATAATAATAATAATAATAATTTACTTATATAAATAAACAAATTATTATTATTATTATTACTACTAGCTGTGCCCTGCCACGCGTTGCTGTGGCCTATAGTAAAACTTATCAAAGTTGAGGTAGATATCTGGACTATTATGAAAGAGAGGTCCCTACCTATTCCTTCCCCCTTTTCCTCCCCCTTTCTCTCCTTTCTTCCTTCTCTACCTCTTTCTTTCTTTCACTACTTGGTTTCATCCTTCTCTCTTTCCTTCATTCCCTCCCCCTTTCTTCCTTTGCCTTTCTTCCCTCCCTGTTTGCTTCCTTCTTTCACTTTTTATTTCCTTTTATTTCACCACCATCATAACAATAACAATAATGCAATGCATTGCCTCTGGGACCTGACACCTCTCCCATTCCCCCTAAAAGGGTCTCATAGGAACAATAGCATCATAATAATAATAGAAATAACAACCTATGGTTGTCTGCTGAGACACTGGAAGTAGCCCAAGAAAGGAGGAAAGCAAAAGGAAACAGGGATAAGGGGAGATATGCCCAGTTAAATGCACAATTCCAGAGGTTAGCCAGAAGAGATAAGGAACTATTTTTAAACAAGCAATGCATGGAAGTGGAAGAAGACAATAGAATAGGAAGGACAAGAAACCTCTTCCAGAAAATTAGAAACATCGGAGGTAAATTTCAGGCAAAAATGGGCATGATCAAAAACAAAGATGGCAAGGACCTAACAGAAGCTGAAGAGATCAAGAGAAGGTGGCAAGAAGGTGACAAGAAGGATAATAATATTGAGTATAGCTTTGATGGTGTGGTGAGTGAATTAGAACCAGATATCCTGAGGAGTGAGGTTGAATGGCCTTAAGAAGCATTGCTAACAACAAGGCAGCAGGAGACGACGGGATCCCAGCTGAACTGTTTAAAATCTTAAAAGATGATGCTGTCAAGGGATGCATGCCATTTGCCAGCAAATATGGAAAACACAAGAATGGCCATCAGACTGGAAAAAATCAACTTATATCCCCATACCAAAAAAGGGAAATGCGAAAGACTGCTCAAACTTCGTACAGTGGCCCTTATTTCTCATGCCAGTAAGGTAATGCTCAAGATCCTGCAAGGAAGACTCCAGCAATACATGGAGCGAGAGTTGCCAGATGTACAAGCTGGGTTTAGAAAAGGCAGAGGAACGAGAGACCAAATTGCCAATATCCGCTGGATAATGGAGAAAGGCAGGGAGTTTCAGAAAAACATCTACTTCTGCTTCATTGACTATTCTAAAGCCTTTGACTGTGTGGATCATAATAAATTGTGGCAAGTTCTGAGTGGGATGGGCATCCCAAGCCACCTTGTCTCTCTCCTGAGGAATCTGTACAAGGACCAAGTAGCAACAGTAAGAACTGACCAAGGAACAACAGACTGGTTCAAGATTGGGAAAGGCGTACGGCAAGGCTGCATCCTCTCACCCAACCTTTTTAACTTGTATGCAGAAAACATCATGCGATGTGCGGGGCTTGAGGAATGCAAGGCTGGGGTTAAGATTGCTGGAAGAAACATTAACAACCTCAGATATGCAGATGACACCACTTTGATGGCCGAAAGCGAGGAGGAGCTGAGGAGCCTTCTAATCAAGGTGAAAGAAGAAAGCGCAAAAGCCGGGTTGCAGCTAAACGTCAAAAAAACCAAGATTATGGCAACAAGAATGATTGACAACTGGAAATAGAGGGAGAAACCGTGGAGGCCGTGACAGACTTTGTATTTCTAGGTGCAAAGATTACTGCAGATGCAGACTGTGGCCAGGAAATCAGAAGACGCTTACTTCTTGGGAGGAGAGCAATGTCCAGTCTCGATAAAATAGTAAAGAGTAGAGACATCAGACTGTCAACAAAGATCCGCCTAGTCAAAGCCATGGTATTCCCTGTAGTCACCTACGGATGTGAGAGCTGGACCTTAGGGAAGGCTGAGCGAAGGAAGAGAGATGCTTTTGAGCTGTGGTGTTGGAGGAAAGTTCTGAGAGTGCCTTGGACTGCGAGAAGATCCAACCAGTCCATCCTACAGGAAATAAAGCCCGACTGCTCACTGGAGGGAAGGATACTAGAGACAAAGTTGAAGTACTTTGGCCACATCATGAGGAGACAGCAAAGCCTAGAGAAGACAATTATGCTGGGGAAAGTGGAAGGCAAAGGAAGAGGGCAAGATGGATGGATGGCATCCTTAAAGTGACTGGACTGACCTTGAAGGAGCTGGGGGTGGTGACGGCCGACAGGGAGCTCTGGCGTGGGCTGGTACATGAGGTCACGAAGAGTCGGAGACGACTGAAGAATAGAAATAACAACCTTTACCCGCCACGTGTTGCTGTGGCCAATCTTCCCTCTTTCTATCCTTCTTTCCCTCCCTCCCTCTCTCCCTCCCTCCCTCCTTCCTTCCTTCCTTCCTTCCTTCCTTCCTTCCCATCTTTCCTTCTCCTCTTCTTTCTCTATCTCTTTCCTTCCTTCCCCCTTTTTCTTCTCTTCTGCTGTCTCTCTTTTCTTTCCTTCCATCTTTCCTTTTCTTTCCTTTTCTTCTTCCTTCTTTCTCTACCTTTCCTTCCTTCCCCCTTTTTCTTTACCTCCCTTTCTCTTTCTTCCTTCTTTCCTTCCTTCCTGTCTTTCCTAGATTTTGACAGGGCGGGGAGGGGGGGGGGTTGGGGGGCGAAGTAAGGGGGGAGTGATGGAGCCAGGGGTTGCGTGTGTGTGTGCGGCGGCGGGGGGAGTGGGGTTGCGTGTGTGTGTGCGGCGGCGGGGGGAGGGGGGTTGCGTGTGTGTGCGGCGGTGGGGGAGTGATGGAGCGTGGGGTTGTGTGTGTGTGTGCGGCAGGGTGTGTGTGTGTGCGGGAAGCGGCGTGGCGGGGCTTGGAGTGGGCATGGCTTCTGCAGAGGGAACGTTGGCCGGAAGACTGTGTGCGCGCGCCAGGGAACTTGCGGCTGGGCACCAATGCGCATGCTCAGTTGTTTTGCCGTTTTGTGAGTGTGTTGTTGTGTTGTTTTTCATTTTGAGTAGATATGTTTGTACCTTGTGGGTTGTGTTATGGGCATGGGAATTTTGGTAAGTTTCGTTGGGGGGGTTTTTGAGTTTTGTTTCTCCGTTGGATGCCCCTAACAAATTTATATATATAGATATTATTAGCATAGTACAATATATAAATAAAAACGTAATGATAGTTCGTGCTACCATCAGAACTCAAAAACCACTGGGGGAATTGACACCAAATTTGGACACAAGACACCTAACAGTCCAATTTATGTCCTCCACTCAAAAAAATTGATTTTGTCATTTGGGAATTGTCGTTGCTGGGATTTATAGTTTACCTACAATCAAAGAGCATTCTGAACTCCACCAATGATGGAATTGGGCCAAACTTAGCACACAGGGCTCCCATGACCAACAGAAAAAACTGGAAGGGTTTGGTGGACATTGACCTTGAGTTTGGGAATTATAGTTCACCCACATCCAGAGAGCACTGTGGACTCAACCAATGATGGATCTGGACCAAACTTGGCACGAATATTCCATATGCCCAAATATGAACACAGATGGAGTTTAAGGGAAATAGACCTTGACATTTGGGAGTTGTAGTTACTGGGATTTATAGTTCACCTACAATCAAAGAGCATTCTGAACCCACAAACGACAGAAATGGGGCAAACTTCCCACACAGAACCCCCATGACCAAGAGAAAATACTTAAGGCCATCCAGTCCAACTCTCTTCACCAGGGCAAGAAAATGTCATCAGAGCCCTCCTGACAAAGAGCCATCCAGTCATAAATAGAGATAGATAGATATGATTCTCTCACACATACACAGATATAGTATCATAGTTTTGAAAGGGACCCTTAAAGAAGGACAATGATATGTTGCATATTCCAGAGTAGGCAAACCAGACACTCTCCCATCAACACTGACAAAGAAACACAAAGAAATACTGTTTACCCACAAGCATAAAGACATTACATATATTAGAAACCAACACTTTCTCATTACTTTATTTTCCAGATCAACAGACTGGGCCACAGCGGCAGGGGACAGCTAATAATAATAATAATAATAATAATAATAATAATAATAATAATAATAATAGGGCGGGATTAAATGAACCAATGGATGGCATCAAACCAAGGGATGGCAAAGTGGGCCCATTTGTTTTAAAGACGCAAATAGACATCTATTGGGTTGGGTTGCGGTGAGTTTTCCGGGCTGTATGGCCATGTTCCAGAAGCATTCTCTCCTGACATGGTCACTTCTTGGGCTAGTAGGTGTCTTGAGTCCAAAATTGGTGGCAATTCATCCAGTGGTTTTTGAGTTATGTTAATCCCACAAATGAATATTACATTTTTATTTATATAGACTAGCCGTTCCCTGCCACGCGTTGCTGTGGCCCAGTCTGTGTATATGTGTTTTGTGTGTGTGTGTGTGTATATGTGTGTGTGTGTGTGTGTGTGTGTGGGGGGTATGTGTGGGTGTATATATGTGTGTGCATATGTGTGTGTAGATGTGTATATATGTGTGTATATATTTGTGTGTTTATAAGTGCATATGTATATTGTGTATATGTGTGTGCTTGTCTTTATGCATATTTGTGTTTATATATGTGTACGTATCAGTTCATGTGTATATTTGTGTGGGCATGTGTATATTACATATGTGTGTATGTCGATGTATGTGTGTGTATATTTTTGTGTGCTTGGGTATATATATATGTGTATATATGTGTGCAGGTGTATATGTATATGAGTGTGTATATGTATATGAGTGCGTGTGTGAGTATGGTGTACTTTGGGGGGTTATAAGTCCGTTCTGCTGAGGGTTTTTTTTTTTTGTATTTTTAGGGGTGATGAACACTCATTGGACTGTTAGGTGTATTGTGTCAAAATTTGGTGTCAATTCGTCCAGTGGTTTCTGAGTTATGTTAATCCCACAAACGAACATTACATTTTTATTTATATACTAGCTGTCCCCTGCCACGTGTTGCTGTGGCCCACATGGGGGTTCTGTGTGGGAGGTTTGGCCCAATTCTATCGTTGGTGGTGTTCAGAATGCTCTGTGATTGTAGGTGAACTATAAATCCCAGCAACTACAACTCCCAAATGTCAAGATTCTATTTCCCCCAAACTCCACCAGTGTTCACATTTGGGCATATTGAGTATTTGTGCCAAGTTTGGTCCAGATCCATCATTGTTTGAGTCCACAGTGCTCTCTGGATGTAGGTGAACTACAACTCCCAAACTCAAGGTCAATGCCCACCCAACCCTTCTAGTGTTTTCTGTTGGTCATGGGAGTCCCCAGGTTCAATTCCACCATTGGTGGGGTTAAGAATGCTCTTTGATTGTAGGTGAACTATAAATCCCAGCAACTACAACTCCCAAATGACAAAATCATAAATTTTTGAGTGAAGGTCACTCCTTGTGTAGTGAGATGTTTTGCTGCCAAATTTGGTGTGATTTCGTTCATTGGTTCTTTTGTTTTTAAGGTACTCACGACGACAAGACCATTTATATATATATAGATTGTCCTCCCCACCTTGTTATATGCCTGTGAGATGTGGACGGTCTAGAGATGTCACATGCAACTCCTGGCAGCCACAAGCCACTCTAAACACCTTTGCAGAAGCATACGAGAAGCTCGGCCTGTCATGCTCATTATGCACAGAGCATTTATATATATATAAACTTTTAAGCCTTTCTGAGTTCCCTTTGGGGTGAGAAGGGCGGCACATAAATGTCGCAAATAAATAAAATAAATAAATATCCATCAGTGGACCACTGGTGTGGCATTAGACACTCTCCTCTCTCTGTGGACCTTCAGATCGATGGACATGGCTGGAAAGCCCTGGAAGAAGCCCACAATGAAGCAGGTAGCAAGAAGCACCCAATGGTTGACTCACCGTTCTCCTTCCTCAGCCGGGAAATAAACTTCTTGGGAGGGATGACGCCCACCTTCTTCTTCTGGGTGGCGATGCTGTTGAAGAGGTCCGAGAGGCAGGTCAGGAGGCTCTCCTTCTTGCGGGGCTGAACCTTGTAGGCCAGGACCTTCTCCCGAAAGGGGCGGCAGAAGTACAGCGCCTGGAGGACCGAGTTGCAGTAGCAGGTGTTGCCAAACTGGAGAAAGAGGAGAGCGTTAGGAACAAAACAAGTGGGAAGAAGGAGAGAGGGGAGGAAGGGTATTAAAGAACCCGGGCGCATGACCTCATGGAAGGAACAAAACTGTTAGCTCAACGTTAAGGTCTTCCCTTGACATGAAGTCCAGGGGTGTGGTGCTCATCTCAGACTTGGCCACAACTTACTTTACTTATGCGATCTCTCGTTTTCCGAGGAGGATTGTCTTCCAATATCCTTGTGGGTCCATATGTGGCTGTGGAGCCCTATTCTTGCTCTGCATCTTCTTCCGCAGTGAGGGCATTGGTTTCCAGGTGGAAGGCGGTCCCGGTCGGGGTTGGCTTGACACGCCTTCCTCTTGGCACGCTTCTCCCTTTCGCCCTCCATTCGTGCCTCCTCAAATTCTGCAGCACTGCTGGTCACAGCTGACCTCCAGCTGGAGCGGTCAAGGGCCAGGGCTTCCCAGTTCTCAGTGTCTATGCCAGAGTTTTTAAGGTTGGCTTTGAGCCCATCTTTCAATCTCTTTTCCTGTCCTCCAACAAGAAGCAAAGACCACCAGCATTGAAGTGATGGTCCTCCGCCATCAACTCCACTGGACCGGCCACGTTGTCCGGATGCCCAACCCCGCAAACATTCTGTTTTCCCGTTCTTGAGTTCGGAGTAGAGCAACTGCTTTGGGAGACGGTGGTCGGGCATCCGGACAACGTGGCCAGTCCAGCAGAGTTGGTGTCGGAGGACCATCGCTTCAATGCTGGTGGTCTTTGCTTCTTCCAGCACGCTGACGTTTGTCCGCTTGTCTTCCCAAGAGATTTGCAGGATTTTTCGGAGGCAGCGCTGATGGAATCGTTCCAGGAGTTGCATGTGACGTCTGTAGACAGTCCACGTCTCACAGGCATATAGCAGGGTTGGGAGGACAATAGCTTTATAGACAAGCACCTTGGTATCCCTACGGATGTCCCGGTCCTCAAACACTCTCTGCTTCATTCGGAAAAATGCTGCACTCGCAGAGCTCAGGCGGTGTTGTATTTCGGTGTCAATGTTGACTTTGGTGGAGAGGTGGCTGCCAAGGTAGCGGAAATGGTCAACATTTTCTAATGTTACACCATTAAGCTGTATCTGGCATTGGAGAGGGATTGGCTGGTCTCTGCTGGAACAGCACCTTGGTTTTTTCAATGTTCAATGACAGGCCGAGCTTCTCGTATGCTTCTGCGAAGGTGTTTAGAGTGGCTTGTAGATCTTCTTCTGAATGCGCACAGACGACGTTGTCATCAGCATACTGGAGTTCTATAACAGATGTTGTTGTAACCTTGGTTTTGGCTTTCAGTCTGCTAAGGTTGAATAGCTTGCCATCTGTCCGATAGATGATTTCCACTCCGGTGGGAAGCTTCCCATCAACAAGGTGAAGTATCATAGCGATGAAGATGGAGAATAAAGTTGGGGCAATAACACATCCCTGTTTGACACCCGATTCCACCTTAAATGGGTCACTTTGGGAGCCATTGCTGTCCAAAACTGTTGCCATCATGTCATCATGGAGGAGCCGCAGGATGTTCACAAATTTGTTAGGGCACCCGATTTTTTGGAGGATGGTCCAGAGAGCGCTGTGATTCACTGTGTCGAATGCCTTTGCAAAGTCGATGTGAAGGGAAACCTTTATCTTTACATTTACCTATATGAGAGATGTCAGTTTGAGAGAGGCCTCAGTGGGAGAAAGGTCTCAGTGTTCGTAGGCCTCAGTTTGAGAAACTTCGGTGAGAGAAGCCCCCGGGGGAGAAGCTTCAGTGTTGCGTGTATAAAGCTACTGTGCAAAGCACCTGTGTAACTTCAGTGTGAGAACCAGCTCTGTGAGAGTGAAGCTGTTCATCTGCATGAGAAAGAAGCCCAGGGTGGTGCTCATCTCCATTTCTAAGCCGAAGAGCCGGCGTTGTCCGTAGACACCTCCAAGCTCATGTTACTGGCATGATTGCATGGAACACCGTTACCTTCCCCTATTGATCTACTCACCTTTGCATGTTTTCGAACTGCTAGGTTGGCAGAAGCTGGGGCTGACAGTGGGAGCTCACGCTGCTTCCCAGATTTGAACCTACAACCTTTTGGTCAACAAGTTCAGCAGCTCAGTGCTGCCATCGGGGGCTCCAGCTCAAGGTTAGTTCATCCTCAAATGGCTAAACAAGGGCTTGGATCCTCTTCATAACCACAAAATAAACAGTAGCAGGAGAGCATGCAGTGGAGAACCATGATGCTCAAGAGATGGCTGCTGTATTCCTACCAAAGGCTGAGCATGTGTTTGTGACATAAACCAAGAAAATACATTATTGGAAATAACAGAGCGGTGTCCCTCTGAATGTCAAACTGGAATGCTCTCGCTGCGGGTGAAAAGCGGCAAGAAAAAGGCGGGTGAGGACTTAAAACGGCTGTGGCTCGAGGGATGCAGCGTTGCCACCAAGGTCCCTCCAAGCCAAAGACATCAAGTTCAATGCTCCAAGAGGCCTCAAAAAAGCAGGCTCTCCCTCTGGGTCGGGGAGGTGGAAGCAATTTCCAGTTGCTGGCATTCAGCAGAGAAACATGTCTGAAGGGGAGGCGACAGGCGAGCGAGGCGTCCATGTCTTATTTCCTGTTTACAAGGCAATCGCTAGCAGCAGCTGTTTGGCATCTGTCTCATTTGAAGCCCGAAAGGAGATAGGAAGTGACACGGAAAAGAGATGCAACCCGGACTGACTGACACTCAAAGGCACTGGATAATAAACACGAAGCAGAGAAAAGCCACTTACGTTGACCAAGCCAAAGTAATGCTCATTCATGGGAAACTGCTCCGGACCAATCTCTTTCTCCAAAGCGGAGGCATTGGCGCCCTGCAAAGACAGAAGAACAGCTGGTGAACAAAGGTAGGAAATGGGTGAATAAAAAGTATATGGTGTTGACCATTTCCGCTCCCTTGGCAGCCACCTCTCCACAAAAGTCAACACTGACACTGAAATACAACACCACCTGAGCTCTGCGAGTGCAGCATTTTTCCGAATGAAGCAGAGAGTGTTTGAGGACTGGGACATCCGTAGGGAGACCAAGGGCTTGTTTATAAAGCTATTGTCCTCCCAACCCTGCTATACCTTGGCAGCCACTTCTCCACCAAAGTCAACATTGACACCGAAATACAACACCGCCTGAGCTCTGCGAGTGCAGATTTTTCCGAATGAAGCAGAGAGTGTTTGAGGACCGGGACATCCGTAGGGAGACCAAGGTGCTTGTCTATAAAGCTATTGTCTTCCCAACCCTGCTATATGTCTGTGAAACATGGACTGTCTACAGACGACAACATTGAGACTAAAATACAACACCGCCGGAGCTCTGCGAGTGCAGCATTTTTCAAATGAAGCAGAGAGTGTTTGAGGACCGGGACATCCGTAGGGAGACCAAGGTGCTTGCTTATAAAGCTATTGTCTTCCCAACCCTGCTATATGTCTGTGAAACATGGACTATCTACAGACGTCAACATTGAGACTAAAATACAACACCGCCTGAGCTCTGCGAGTGCAGCATTTTTCCGAATGAAGCAGAGAGTGTTTGAGGACCGGGACATCCGTAGGGAGACCAAGGTGCTTGTCTATAAAGCTATTGTCTTCCCAACCCTGCTATATGTCTGTGAAACATGGACTGTCTACAGACGACAACATTGAGACTAAAATACAACACCGCCGGAGCTCTGCGAGTGCAGCATTTTTCAAATGAAGCAGAGAGTGTTTGAGGACCGGGACATCCGTAGGGAGACCAAGGTGCTTGTCTATAAAGCTATTGTCTTCCCAACCCTGCTATATGTCTGTGAAACATGGACTGTCTACAGACGACAACATTGAGACTAAAATACAACACCGCCGGAGCTCTGCGAGTGCAGCATTTTTCAAATGAAGCAGAGAGTGTTTGAGGACCGGGACATCCGTAGGGAGACCAAGGTGCTTGCTTATAAAGCTATTGTCCTCCCAACCCTGCTATATGTCTGTAAACCTACGTCCAACAGACCTCACACCTCTGAGGATGCTTGCCATAGATGCAGGCGAAACGTCAGGAGAAATGCCTCTAGAACATGGCTCTATAGCCCGAAAAAACCCACAAGAACCTAGATCCATCATTGTTTGAGTCCACAGTGATCTACAACTCCAAAATCAAAGGACACTGCCCACCAAACCCTTCCAGTATTTTCTGTTGGTCATGGGAGAACTGTGTGCCAAGTTTGGTTCAATTCCATCGTGGGTGGGGTTCAGAATGCTCTTTGACTGTAGGTGAAATATAAATCCCAGCAACTACAACTCCCAAATGACAAAATCCTAATTTTTTGAGTGATGGTCACTCCTCATTATCCACTGCCAAGACACTACACTTGGAAGACCATCATACTCAGACGAGGGATCACCTGTCAGTGTTTCTCTTTTTTTTTTTAACTAATTTTTATTTTTACAATACAAAAAAATACATACCGTGCACACACAAAACATTTACAATTCCCACCACCAATGAGGATTATTTTCTTTCACATATTCATTTCTTTTTGAGACAATCATTATATCTTTATCTTTATACATTTCCATCCTGTATGCTATATAACATTTGTATCTTATTTCTTATGGCTTGATCTCCGGAATGATTCATAATATAGTTCTTTACCCTTGTCCATCTTTCTTCCATTTCTCTCATTCTATTTTCATTGATTTTTAAATCATTTAATTTCACATTCATAATTTCAAATTCCATTTGCTCCACCATATATTGGTACCATTTATTTACTGTCCATTTTGATTTATCTTTCCACCCTAATACTATTACTGCTTGTGCACATTCTATTATTGCTTCTTTTATTTCCCTTTTATTTCCCATTTCCTCTCTTTTCCCTAATACCGCCATTTCCTTTGTTATGACCCACTCATTTCCTAGTATTTGATTTGACTCATTTTGTATAGTCTGCCAAAAATCTTGCACGTGTCTCTTCAAATTCTACAGCACTGCTGGTCACTGTTGACCTCCAGCTGGAGCACTCAAGAGCCAGGGCTCCCCAGTTCTCAGTGTCTATACCATTTATTTATTATACTTTATGCTGGTCGCTTCTGTGGCGAGAGAATCAGCTGTCTACGAAGATGTTGCCCAGGGGACGCAGCACATAGAAGATGGCTTTGAAAGGCAGCAGATCACAGGAGCTGTCAGCAGCCTATGATACTGTGAACCACCGCCTCCTCCTGAGAAAAATGTATAATATCACAAAGGACGACCGTCTCACCCGCCTCATAGGAAACCTGCTACAAAACAGGAGCTTCTTTGTTGAGTTCCAGGGCCAGAGAAGCAGATGGCGGAAACAGAAGAACGGCCTGCCTCAGGGGAGCGTGCTTGCTCCATCCATGTTCAACATCTACACAAATGACCAGCCACTGCCAGAAGGGACAGAGAGTTTCATCTATGCTGATGATCGTGCCATTACTGCTCAAGCAGAGAGCTTTGAGATGGTTGAACAGAAGCTCTCCGAAGCTCTAGGTGCTCTTACTGCCTATTACAGGGAAAACCAGCTGATCCCTAATCCATCTAAAACACAGACATGTGCCTTTCATCTCAAGAACAGAGAAGCATCCCAAGCTCTGAGGATGACCTGGGAAGGAATCCCATTGGAGCATTGCAGCGCACCCAAATACCTGGGAGTCACTCTGGACCGTGCTCTGACCTACAAGAAGCACTGCCTGAACATCAAGCAAAAAAGTGGGCGCTAGAAACAATATCATACGAAAGCTGACTGGCACAACCTGGGGATCACAACCAGACACAGTGAAGACATCTGCCCTTGCGCTATGCTACTCTGCTGCTGAGTATGCATGCCCAGTGTAGAACACATCTCACCACACTAAAACAGTGGATGTGGCTCTTAATGAGACATGCCGCATTATCACGGGGTGTCTGCGCCCTACACCACTGGAGAAATGACACTGCTTAGCCAGTATTGCACCACCTGACATCCGCCAGGAAGTAGCAGCCAATAGTGAAAGGACCAAGGCAGAGACATCTCCAGCTCATCCCCTGTTTGGGTATCAGCCAGCACGTCAACGACTTAAATCTAGAAATAGTTTTCTAAGATCTACAGAGACACTCGCTGGAACACCTCAGCAAGTAAGAGTCCAAAAGTGGCAGGCTCAAACCCAGAACCTCAATCAATGGCTGATACCAAATGAGAGACTCCCCCCTGGGCACACAGAGGACTGGGCGACTTGGAAGGCGCTGAACAGACTGCGCTCTGGCACCACAAGATGCAGAGCAAACCTTCAGAAATGGGGCCACAAAGTGGAATCCACGGCATGCGAGTGTGGAGAAGAGCAAACCACTGACCACCTGCTGCAATGCAACCTGAGCCCTGCCACATGCACAATGGAGGACCTTCTTGCGGCAACACCAGAAGCACTCCAAGTGGCCAGATACTGGTCAAAGGACATTTAATCCACTACCAAACTCACAAATTTTGTATTTTGTCTGTTTGTTTGCTTTGTTCTGTTAGAAATGTAATATATTTGACTGGTTGTCTAAATGTTCTGGAACAGCTGTTCCAGGAGCTCCAATTTTATTTGCTTTGAACTAAATGTTGGTTTGCAATCCCAGGCTTGGGATTTTGCAGCAGGGTGGCTTCCTGTTATAGTTTGCAATCATAGGGCAAGCCACCTGTCTATTATAGTTAGGATCCCTGGTCCCGCCCCTCTCTGGGTTTTTTGGAGGGAAGGGGCCATTTTTCAGTTAGTCTCAGCAAAGGAAGTCAATGCAGAGGATGTATACAGACGTCCTCCTGTACAAAGGCTTCATCCCTTAAGACTTTCCAGGGGAGAACAGTCTTGAGAGCCTCTAAAGATTCTCAAAGGTTCCGGGGAAACAGCCTTACAGCCCTGAGGAATTCCGGAGGGAATAACAGCTCTAACCATCAAAGCAGCTAAGTGATTACAAGCCTTTTGATAGGTTCGCTCGGCGTTGAGACGTAGTTCAGCCCGGTAGTGAATCCACATCAATAAGGTTTAGGTTCACAGCAGCCTGGGAGGAGCTAGAAAGGGGAATTTTCCTTTAAACAAGGTTTTTGAAGATAGTGCCTGTTCCCTGTGGACAAGATTGCAAGACTGTTAAGAAAGCTTTACAATTCCTGTTTGTTCATCAATAAAAGACTGTTATATTTAAGCTCAAGCCTCATAAAGACTGTTTAATAAGGGAAATTTCTCTAAAGGCTTCTTTTCGGGGGCCCTGGCTTCCCGCTGGATCCAAGCCATACATCCTCTCTTAAAGGCACTTCATTTCAGGTCCAGCGGCGACAGAACACGACAAATAAATAAATTATACTTTATTCTCCATCTTCATCGCTATCTGGGGGGTCACGAGGGGGGGTTTCAGAGGGGTCGCCAAGGACCATCAAAAAACCATTGTTCTCGCTGTGGAAGAACATGTGGGTCAAGAATTGGGCTCGACAGTCACCTCTGTATCCATCATACTCGGACAACGAGGGATCGCCGAAGTAAGTGTTGTTAATTGTATAAATCAAGTAAATAAATGAAAGACTTGTCAGTGTGCAAGGCTATAGTAAAGCTCTCTGAGTTGAGACAAGGCCAAGGACAAGAGGTCCATATATAGCCAGCGATATCGGGCCCTTGACATCTGATGAAACCACAAAAGCCCTTCAAAGACAGACCAGACAAAGCCAGCAAAGAGGAATACCCAGAAGTGGTTTATTTGACAGGTGAGGTAGTGCTCCAAGGAAGAAGAGACCTCAGCTTAAAGCTAGATATGGGCCGCTTTTTGGAAAGCCTCTATATAACGTTCTCCTTATCTTGGGCAAGTGACTCATCCTGCAGCT